CTCTCTTGTTCAGAAATAGTACCATCCCAATGTAAAATAAATGAACTCCTGCCGCCTGCTAACAAAGCAGCTCTGTGGAGAGCTGTCTCCAGGTGAACGACTCCCCTGGTTCAAGATCTGGCCTTCATTCCTGGATACAGAGAGATCTCCTGTGCAACCAGTAAAAAGCTGACACCGACCGTGCCTGGAGCCTGCACCTGAGGAGCAAAGCAGGGAGCAGGGCACTGCCATGCTCAGGGAGAGGTGAGGCGTGAAGCTACACAGGGGTCAACACACGGTCAGACCAACACCTGGGAGGAACAAAACCACCCCTGGGCACCCCACGTGCCTGAAACTGTACCTGTTTTTTCCAGCTCTATTCCCTCCAGATCCGGTTTTCCCATTCAGATAAGCAAGCACTCCAAAACCTGCAGGACTGCCTTCGTCATTTTGAAATCGGCTGGGCAGGTCCCCAACTGGAGGGTGTTTTGGGCCAGGTTTCCAAGACGGAGTATCTGATAAAATCAGTGTTTCTGTTTTTCCCTTCCCTGGGGCAGGGACGGGTGCTCAGAGCAGTCTCAGCTGCTCTGGTGGCTCAGGCTCTCACCCCTCCTGGGAAGCGGTGCTGAGAATGTCCTCAGAGAAAGAGCACTGCTCTCCATGAAGGCCATGAAGGCCATGAAGCGGTGCTGAGAATGTCCTCAGAGAAAGAGCACTGCTCTCCATGAAGGCCATGAAGGCCATGAAGCGGTGCTGAGAATGTCCTCAGAGAAAGAGCACTGCTCTCCATGAAGGCCTATACCAAAGTCTTGCACAAAGAAGATGGCAAATACAGCGGGAGCAGAGTCGTGCTTGGGATTTCCAGGGAGATCTTTGCTTCCTGGGCCCTGGTATAGGGAGGAGACAGGGTCTGGCTCAAGGCAGGAGAAGCTGGGAGGCACCTCTGGTTCCTGTTCTATGTTTAACTGTAGTGCAGCCATCACAGCATAAACCCTTATTGGAAAGAGTTTGGCTCTTTCCCTCTCTCCCCACCAACATCTGCCAAGGCAAAGGGCCAGCACATGAGTTATGGGGCACCCAAGGCACTATGTCCAACTGACCCACCCTCTCACCATCCCTCCCCTGACACAGCACAACCAGGGCATCAACTTTCTCCTTCCTACATCTCCACAGGATTTTTCCTCCCCCTTTAGCTTGGGTTTCCCCCACATGGTGTGTGGTGGAAGCAAGGAATTGGAGAATGAGAGCCATGGTTTTACATTAACTTAATTTCCCCAAATAAACACCACTGCAGTAGCCAACCCCTTCAAAGTACTCTGGGTAAATAATACTACAGCTCATGAAAGAGATTTCCATGGGCCAGCACATGTTGATTTGGAAAGATGTTCCCTTGCAAAGCTGAGTCATAAAGAGGATTGAGAAACTCTGCAATCAGTGATTAAACAGTTAGAAAGATCAGCCAGCAGGAAAGCGTGCCTAAAATTGTCATGATGTACACTACCTCTTATTGCAATGCTTTGCTTTGGGTAAAAGGTTTCATTGGTTTCATTTGTTTCATTTGTCTAAGTGCGATACATTTCAAATCTCAGGTCCTCTCCTCTCTTACTCACAGCAACATTCAGTTCTGTTGATCTTGTATTTCATCAGTCGTGTGGGAAGGTGAATGTACTTGTTGTCTAATGGCAGAAGATGTTTCAATTGCTTTTTTGGACTCCAATTAGGAAAGGCCTTAAATTAAACACTAGGGATATAAAAAAAAATTGAACGAGATTGGAAAACTCTGGAAAAACACTCATGGGAGAATAGTTGCCATGGCAATGCTTCTCTGTTTTCTCTTGGGATAACAGAAGTATGTGCTGAAGAAGACACTTCCCCAACACACACCTCAGACCCAAACCCACTTCGCTTCCAAGCTCAGAGTGGGTGGTGCAGCAGCCCACACAGCTCTGCTGTCCCACCACAGGGAGCCCTAGTGTCAGGTCACACCGCCAACGTCACACTGCACACACGATGCCATGTGTCACCTGAGTCAGGACGCAGATCAGGGCGCTGCAGCACGTGGCTGATGAACTGCTTCTGCATACCCACTGCCTTTTGAAGGCCTCATAGCTCCAGTGCATCTCTTCTGCTTCTTGGTCCCACAAAGCAAGCAAGGTGGTGAGAAGCTCACAGCTTATGATGTCCAGCTGCATCTGTTTGTGAGATCACAGAAGGGGAGAAGGGCCATAGCACTTCCAAGTCCGTGCTGCAGGCCAGGCTGCAGGGGATATAAAACAGAAGCCACTGGCCTGATCCTGTGTTTGGTACAGGGCAGTGAGTTGATCCAGAGGCATGGGAAGCCAGACCCTCAAAGACACTGAAACACCTAAATCCCAGTGGTATCTTTCAGGATGTGGTTTCTGGTATACTTTTGAAAAATTTGCACCTAAAATTCAGGCTCCTCAACCCAGTCTTCTCACTGGGACTGCACAGAAGGTATGTCTGAGGCTGCCCGGGGACCTCGGGCTGCTGATCAGCCAGACCTCACACTCAGTCTAAGAACAGCATGGCTCCTTCCACCTCATTCACTGAAGTTTCTCCTCGCAGAAACTGGGGTTGGGCAGCAGTGAGGGGTACAGGCACAGAACGCACCCAACCCTCATCTAGGCGTGGGCTCTGGATGTGGAATTCGACAGACAGCACCTTAGGAATCAAGTAGCATTTGGACTGACCCACCTTCTGCAGCAGCTCCCACAGAGGACTAGAAACAAAGCATCCGCCATGGCTGAAACCTGTTTTGTGCAACAGATTCTGCTGAGAGCAAAGCAGAGATTATGAATGAGCTGACAAAACCAGCCTGCTGCTGGCATAGGCACCAAGCAGAGACAGAGTAGCTACACTGGAAGTGTTTCATCCATTACTGTCAGAGAAGTCACTTTTACCACTGATCCTGCTCCAATAAATCATGTTGCCAAGCAGTTTTATAGAGGCGTTATACATCCAAAGCTACTTATGGTCCTGTTAAAAGAGATGCATTTCTTTTTTAGCTCAGTGTGGCTGAAATGCTGTCACAGAAGAAAGAGAGTTGCTGCTCAGAATGCTATTGCAAAAGAGGTATTACTGTAATTACAGCAGGAGGGACGATGTGAGCTAGAATCCACCATCTTCTTTCCCTGTCCCATTGCCTTCGGGCAGCCTTGCAAAGCTGAAAATTTGCTACCACAAGCACAATAGCTGCTCACGCACCCTTTGCCACGGGTGATTGATGAAAATGGGGAAATAATGATGTTACTTCCCCCTTCGCCATAAATCACCCATCCCCTCAAAGTGACTAGAGTATTATAAGTCTGGCCAGATTTATACGGACAACTTAACCAATTAGCTCTTTTATAAAGGCTGTCGTCTTCTTAATGCAGTGTTAGATATATTTAGGCATGTGTCTACAAAAGAAAGCATTTCTTTCCGAAGCTAACAAAGCTCTCATTCTAGCAGGCTTAAAACCGCAGTCTGAAAATGTTTGCCCCGTGGCTGTGTTCGCATTAGCACGTTATTCTGTGACAAGCAGAAGCCAACCAATAGATAAAAGCTGGGGGTCTGGAGGACCCTACACATACACTACGTATATATACATACACGTGTACATACACATGTACACATACACATATTTATAAAGGTACATGTGTACTTCTATATAAATATGTATGACTTGCCACCGTTGAGGTCAGCAGGAAGACTGTCACAGATTATGTCACTAACAAGTGGGGCAGCTCAGGAAGCTGGTAGATCCAGTATGGCTAAAGCTACGTGGCATGCTTATGATTCCCATCAAGATTATGCTTTCGTATTTAGCTCTGCTTAAATGTGGCTGGCCCTATTGCCGTCACACCGCTGCTCCACACCGTGCTGGGAGGGACCTGCCTAGCCCCTAATTAGCCACAAGGCCACTCCGGTCTCTGGAAGGCAGAGATAATTCCCCGGGCTGTTACCCCCCTGAGCCCATTCATCCCAGTAGGTAGCACAGGCAACCATGGAGGTGACTGCACTATTATTCCTCGGAAAACAAATACTGGAGAGGCAGAGGAAAAGTTTTGATTTTTTTTTTTTTTAAACATTAATTCAGGAGTAAATTGTGGGTAATGGAGTGGCTGTGAAGATGGTGGCCTTGGGTCAAAATCCAGAGCACGCTTCTGACTCCTGGCCCTGACACAAACGGGTGGTTGGAAACCTCTGAAGTCAACGTCAGATCTGGCTGTCCAAACAAACATGCATTCCCAGTGACAGAGGCGCATCAAAAAGCTGGCTGACCTGGCTGCCTACAAAGCAGAGACACAACCTGCTGGAAACCTTCAGCCAGAAAGTATTTCTGCCCTTCCACATACAAGGAACCCCTTGCCATAGGATGGAAAGGTACCATGGATAGTAAGCTGCCCTCATCTAAAAAGCAACTGGAAAAATGCAGCGGATGAAGTCTGTCTGGGTCTACCAGGCACAATAACAAAAATCCCTAAGCCACACTGTACTAAAGACAGGAATATTTAGAGGAGATACCAGCACACAGGTACACTGATCCTGTATCTGCCTCAGGTGTCCCCTACTGCCAATTACTGGCAGCAGGACACTGAGCTAGATGGACCTCAGTGTGACAATATGTCAAACATTTCCAGATAGTAGGTTGTGTTAAAAATCAGTCATGAATATTTGCCTGAATGCTGTCTGTGAACCCACACAGAGGAACAGACAACTGAACACACAATTCTCCTCAGGTGAGCAGGCCCCCTGGTTTCTACATTAACAGAAATATATCAGACAAAGTACTAAAATCAATGAAAAATGAGATTACTCCATCAGCTCCCATCTCGCACAGTCAGATAATGCAGGGCCACACCAGGATACCTAAAATAGCAATTTCTTTGAAAAAGCATTATGACTATTTATGGATGCTGCGACATGATTAGTACACCAAACAGATAAACTGGCAACCTCTAGTCTTTCAAATCAACAACTCCCACTGAGCACACACAGTCAATGACCAGCACAAAAACTGTAAATCAAAATATTATTATTTTTTTATTTATTAAAAAAAAATCTAGAAAATGCAGACAGAACACAGGCATCTTTGCTTGTACAGAAAAGGCAATTTGGTTCACAGAAGCTTTTGGTATCAGTTTACACTGCTTATGAAACTGTACCCTACCGACTGCATGCAAAAGGCCAGTGGCAGGGCTGCACCAGCAGAGCCTACAGATGCAATTACTCTCACTGGTGGGTCAGAAGCTCCTGGTCTCTGTTCAGAAAGGCTGTTACGTGTGTTATGAAAAAAATCAAGCTGCTGAGATGTACAGCTCTGTTCATACCAGGTTTATTATTGATCTTCCTAACAACTGAGATTTCACAGGAGAAATTTTGGGTAATTTCAAGATTTTGATCACTGAATGGCATTCATCACCGTTAGGCAAAAAGGATTGTATCCACAGTCTACACGTGAGTTTCAAAAAGAACCCGGGAATGCATAAACTGGGCAGCACTGTGCTCCTCCATTCCTCCCCATGCAAGTAAAAAAGATCTGGGATTTGAATAGGTCCCTGTGGTTTCAAGGATGGCCTTAGAAGGGCCTTTTGCTCCTTACAAAAGTCCTTCAAAAGCCTAACTCTCAGTCTGCCTCAATTTCCCTTTTGATTCCTTCTCCCCTGGTAATTTGCTTTTTACCCATCCTGACTAGCTGCTCTTGCACACAGGTGAGTCAGACTCTCTCGTGAGGTCTACAGCAAAGCTCTTACACGACTCAGCAAGAAAGAAAAGGAAAGCACATCAGAACCTCACATTTTTTCCTTTTACTGCTGAGATTAGTTCTCAGAAAGCAGGCACATGTCAAACAGTTCGACTGGACAGAACTTGAGATGCCATCTGACAAATCTCCTCCAGCTCCAGTGGAAAATGGCTTTTGGAAAGTGCCTGGACTTTTGAGGCACTTAAGCATCAGAGGAACACACTTCTTTTAGTGGTGGTAATGAATTACACAGGCACCCACAGTACACACAACAGGAAGGTGAGGAAATGATCTTGGGGTCTCCACACCACATTGTCCAGCTGCTAGCTGAGATCAGAACATAACACACCCCAAGATGTCTCACCCCAAGCAGGAGGACAGCTGCAAACAGAAACCTGGATCTTCCTCTAAATGACACTTCTCTGACAGATGGCAGAAGCGTTGCTCTCCTGGACACTATGAGTCAATGTAAAGGATGCTGATTTTCACTGAGCTGTGTTGGTGGCGATGCCCATGTCCCTTTAGACTGCTTTTGGAATGGCACAGATAAAAGCAGCATTTTACAGCTGTAGCAAGTGCAAGAAGATAAAAAAGCCCCTGTATGCACTTCCGTCATGTTCCCCTGCCTGGCTCAGGTGAGACTAACAGTCTGCCAGCACTTGGACACAACTCTTGTCAGGCACCTGTCTTGCTAATTAAGTACTTTTGGCTGTCTCAGCTTTGAACTCTGGGAGCAGGAGGGAGATCAAAGCAAGGCACCAAGAGATCACAAAAATCTATGTTGTTGAGGACTTAGTCCAGAATGAAGGAGCAGGATCATCAAAGGGCTCTGAAACGTTCTGCTAAAATGGCTGGTCAATAAAAGACCAAGGCAGAGGTGTGGAGGGAGGAAATGATGATTTTCTGCCTCTGCTAAATTGTTAGTTTATTTTGAAGAGGACAGGAACGTAGCACGGGGAGGTTATCAGTGCAAGCCAGTACCACGGGAAGCCAGATGCTCACTGTTTCACAAACCAGACCTCATTGCGTCGCCCATAAGGCTTCATAGGGGGGTCATAACCATTGCAGAAGTAGAAATCCTTGTGGTAGGCAGCTTCACTCCCCAGAGCAGACTTCAGCTTGGCCGCATAGTTCACGTAATCCACTTCATTGGCATAGCCACCAAACTGCCTGCAAAGAAACCAGACCCAGAGAGGTACTGAGCAGTCTTGGCAGAGCACAGAAAGGAAGAGAGGGAGAATATATATAGCCACAATATATTTAGCCACACATTTCAATCCAGGTCCAACCAGCATGGACTTGTGCAGGCGCTCTTTGTGATCCAGCACACTGTGTCTGTGACAGATTATGTCTCAAGGGTCACACAGCCAGGGTGCAGTCAGCCATTGGTAGACCTCAAATGGACACCCCCCCAAACAGACCCATGTATATTCATTAGCAGAATGGCCCTGCCCTTTTAATCAATGCCATAGCAGAGGAACATCTTCTGAGACCACAATGTTATCTCCAAGTCTGCTCAGCCCGTAGTCATTACACCAATGCTGTCAACAGCCATGTTCACTGTTGCGTGAACAACCATCTGCTGGAGGCCACATCACAAAGGGAAGCCAAACTCTAGTGAGCCCAAGGAAAAGGGAGGGGGGGTGGGAACAGAGATGTTAGCAATTGCAGCCTACAATGCTATTTAAAAGGGGTGGGCTGCAATTGGCCTGTTTTATGTTGACCTCCCACCAACAGGAACTGTTTCCACATCAGCCTTGCACCTCACCACCCTGCCTTAGGGCCAAAGTTTGAAACAAAACAGCTTGTTCTTGCAGAAGGAGCCCACACCCACAGCAAAGGCCAGGGAGCAGTCACAGGCAGGGAGGAGCTGGACAGTTTAGAGTCAGCCAAAATAGTTGAAGCAAGGAGGCAGGGGAATATCCAAGGGGTTAAAAACAGGGTGAAGAGCTTATTGTTATTGTGATGCTAGTTTGAGTACAGTCTGTCAGTCAACAGCTGAAGACATTCAAAGGCTATTGGAAGCAATGCAATGGCTGCTTGTTTCCATGATGGACTCTGGCACGAGTCCACCTAAATCAGGCCTCAGTTGGCACCTGTTGTTTGATGCGAACCACACCAAATGACCTTCTTGATGACTAAGAACCATCTTGGCCCCAGAAGGTGAGGGAAACAATGGTTTTCAGATACTAGGAATGATTTAAGACCTTCATATTCACCCTCCCCTGCTCTTCACCTCCCCAAGCAAAACAAAAAGGCTTTCAGGGCTAACCTCTCCACTTGTTTTCCCAGTAAAAAAAAAATATCCATATTCCAAGTGGGTGCAGCATAGCCAATGATAAGAGAAGCCATAAAACAGCTGTCTTTAGACTAGAAAGGCCCCTCCATCTCTTTCTACCACATGCACCCATTGTCCAGCAAGTCACCTGGTAAAACCAACAACAGCGCTCTTCAGAGCACACTAGAGACCTCAGCACTTGGGGCTGGAAATGCCAGGATGCGTTTCTTACATTGAATAAATGGTCATCCCCTGTCTCTCTTCAATCTTAATGCTTTCATCGCTAGGGCAAGGAGGGTTGGCTTGAAACTGGCTTGGGATCCGCAGATAGACCTTAACTTTCTGCTGTAAGGAGCCATCTTCAGCAGGAAAAGCAGTGATGGAGACAGGAGCAGTCATGCCCATTCCAGCCCCTGAAAAAGACACACAGATATTACTAAAGAAGTCTAGGTTCTCAGGAACTCACAAAATTAACAGAGGATTCACAAAAGCTAATTTTAGTTTAGGAAAACTCCTCACACTGAACTTCTTGTATAGTCAGTCAAGAGTGGGGCATGCAGAACATAACATTAGGCTTCTGCTTGGGCCAAACTTCTCTCTCCACTGACTACACAAGGACTCTGGGAGATAAGGGCCCTAGTTGACTTCTGGATGTGTTTTTATTACTGGTCTTAAGACACTCTGCTCTTCTGACAAATGACCTCTAATACAACAGGGTCTACAGTTCCAGGGTTGGTCAGCGGCACACGTAAATCTGCATCAATATTTAAATTGTCATCATCTGCACTTAGTGGTGAGCCCATAGCCAATACTAGGTGACAGGAGCTTTCTCCTAAACCCCGACAGATGCTTCCAGACATCCTACAAGTTCCAGTGCCCCAAAACTCTAAGCTGTTCTGGCTTTCAGCAGGGCTGTCCATGTTATCCACCACTCCAGGAACAGCATGCTTCTCTTCTACTCGTTACTGCCCAGATGTACCACATGGCACTGAGGAACATTTTTATTCCCTCTTCTTTCAGCAGTAGGGAACCTCCAACCCTCAGAATCAGGTAGCCACAGAACCAGTTGGGATCAAGCCATCTCTCTCATTCAGTTTGCTTTGATACAATACCCATCTCTGTGGCATACATTATAGAAGGCACCCATTCTCCTCCAGCAACGGTGATCATCACTTTTCTAAAACATGCTGCTGCAAATGCTATTTCCTTCTGTATCTAGCTCCTATACCCATACTGACTATGCAAGTCCCCCTACCAGGTGCCCAAGAAAGGTGTGAGAGCAAATATGTATGCCTCAGAATCACTTTGTGGTCTTCTGCTATGGATGATTACCAACGTGCGTACTTCAGTAAATTCAGAATTAGAAGCAATCACCTGGAAGCATGATTATAAAACAGTACGAAGTACCATTAAAAAGGAAGCGCATTGTTCATTACCCTTTCATGAATAAGAATAGCCAGAGTATATGATAAAATATCAAGGTCATAAAAGTTATTTCACTGGCTACAGGGGCGTATCAAAGAACCGAAGTACCCCAGATACCCTGGATTTTATCAGCTACCTCTCTTACAGATAGATAGGACAGACATACGTGTGCCTGCCCGCACGTTGTCCCAAGCTACACTGCAAGGTGACCCATCCCTGCTAAAACGCATCATTTTTGAAATTCTACCCTGAAACAGTGACAGGTTTGGAGAGGGCTCATAGCATGACTTGGCTGGGCGCACTTTAACCTGTGACAAGTTTATTTTTCCCAGTGAGGGGCCATCCCCATCACAGACCCCCCAGTGCCAGGCGGGCCCATGGTGTTGTCACATCCATCCATCCATCCATCCATCCATCCAGCTTTCACCAAGCCTCTGCTAGCGGCGGTCAAGCACAGACATCTGCCAAGCCCCAAAGGGGAAGGAGTGCCTCTCACCCTTGTCGTTGGTTCCTCCGACGTACTTGTGGAGCTTGATCACCCCTTCCTTCGAGGCTTCGTCGAAGGGCTTCCCCACCACCTCCACCGCCGCGAACCACCCGCCCTCGTACTCCCTCTCCTCGTAGCTGAGCTGCTCCTGGGGAGGGAGATGGGGACGGAGATGGGGATGGAGAAGTCGTCAGCTGCCCGGCCGGGCCGGGAAGAAAGCGCTGCCTGGAGGTGACCGTCTCCCCCGTGCAGGCCCTCCCCGCCTCCCAGCGCCTTACCCGGCCCGACCGCCGCGGA